TTTTTTTTTAATTTATAGTTTTCTTTAAACTTTATAAAATAAAAAAAAATTCATTAAAATTGAAATTATATACTATATATAATATAATATAAATTATATAATTATTTTATATTTATTAATTTAATTTAAATAGTTTTTTTTTTAAATTTATAGTTTTCTTTAAATTTTATAAATAAAAAAAATTCATTAAAATTAAATTATTAAATATTACTAAGATAATTACAAAAAACTTTTATTAATAAATTAATAATATACAGTATATTATATAATTGGGATAAATACTAGAAAAGAAAACCAAATTAAAATCAGAATATTTGTTATTTTAAAAAATTTTTTTGTTGATTTAGTTTTTTTTTTTAACATTTACTTCAATTATTTAATGAAAAAGAATAAATAATATTATTTTTACTTATAAAAGGTAAATGATTAGTTGAAGATAAGTTAAATCATTTATTATAATAAGTAAAATAATGTAATTATTTTCTATTAAATAAATTTTATATTCAAGAAACTTCTATAATTATATATAAATAGGTTATTAATAGTCCAAATAGTCTAATAAAATATAATTTATTATTTACTTTCTTTTTTTCATTATTCTGTTTTTTTTTTATTATTATTTTTTCTATTAAAAGTTAAAAAACAACTTAATAAAAATAAATTTACATTAAATAAGACAAATATATTAAATATTTAAATATTATTTAGATTTCATTTTATTTTTAGAGAAATTATATATTATTTATTTAAAAAAAACGTTTAAAAGTAAAAATATTTATAAATCTATAAAAAACTAAATATTTCATTTTGAAGATTTTTATTTGTAAAAGTATAATAATAAATTATATGATATTAATTAACTTTGTCTTTTTAAATTATATAATTCAATTTAGATGTAGTAAACTTTTGTATCATAATAATTAGTTAATATAATTATAATATACTAAATTTTTTAATAGTTATTATTTTAATATTTTACATTATATTTGCTAATACTTAAAACTTTCTATATTTTACAAATTATATAATATAATGAAATGTAAAAAAATAGAATGCAAAAAATACAAATCTTTTGATAATAAATACATTTAAATTACATTTAAAATATTTAATATATTTAGTAACTAACTGTTAAGTTTTACTTGATAAAGAAGCTAAAAATATGTCTTTGAAATATACTGAATTAGAATATAACTAGAGGAAATTGATAAAGCAAAACACTATAATACATTTCAATTTTATAATTTAAGGATAGTATTATTTTTCTGGTAAATATAATATAACTTTAAAATCAAATATGGCAATGAAAATATATTTAAAGAAATGCTTTGAATCAATCTAAATATAAGTTCAATATAATACAAAAGAAATATAAAGATTAATTTTATATTTGTCCAAATACTTATTACTAAACAAGTTCAATAGAGTGATTAAGAAAATGATTACTAGTATAAGATACATTTAAAGAAATACTTTAAATTAAGCTAAGTATACAAGCTTAATATAATACAAAAGTAATATAAAAATTAATTATTTGTCTAAATATTTGCTATTAAACAAGTTTAATAGAATGATTAAGAGAATGATTACTAGTATAATTTATACTTGTAAAATTTATGAATAAGCATTAAAGTTTTACTTGATAAAAAAGCTAAAAAATATGTCTTTAAAATATGCTGAATTAGAATATAAACTAGAGGAAATTGATAGAGCAAGAACACTATATACTCATACATCTTAATTTTGTAATTTAAGGATAGTATTATTTTTCTAGTAAATATAACATAATTTTGAAATCAAGTATGACAATAAAGATACATTTAAAGAAATGCTTTGAATTAAGCTAAATATACAAGCTCAATATAATACAGAAGTAATATAAAAATTAATTTTATATTTGTCCAAATACTTGCTATTAAATAAGTTCAATAGAGTGATTAAAAGAGTGATTAAATGCAAGTACCTTCAAATAGATTATCTATTTTTAAAATTTTTAGTATCAGAAACTTCTAATGCAATGCAAATTTTAGAATAAGAAGCTATATAAACTAAAGCAAACTTAACTTCTATTTCTAAATTAATGACATTTGTTCTAAGTTATCAAGAAATAATATAAATTTGAGGAAATATAATAATCATTAGATTAATATTTTTTTTCTAATTATAAAACAACCAGATTAGTATCTGATGAAAATTAATTTGAGATATTTAACTTTATATTATTAAAATGAATGCTAATTTTAGTATAATTTATACTTGTAAAATTTATGAAATTTTATCTGATAAAGAAGCTAAAAATATATTTAAGTTCTACCATGCTTCATTGCAAGTTCTTTCTGATGATATCTATCCTTTTGTAAATGTTGAAAAAGTTTTTAGATCAAAGGAATATGTGGATTTTTATATAAATGATAATTATCACTAGGCTATTGAGTTATTAAAAGATGGAGTAAAGTTAAATGAATATCAAAAAAAATTTCAAAGTGGTGGCATATATGTTTTTATCCTTAAATAAAATAGTGGGCAATCATTGATATTTGAAATAGTAAAATAAAAGCTCCAAAATTAGAGAAACATAGAAGAAATAATATTTATATTATTTGTACTAAAAATATTGAATCTGTTCAGTTAATATATCATAATGGAAATAAAGAAAATTTGTTAAAAAAAGTGATTAAGTGCAAGAAATACTTTCAAATAGATTATTTATTTTTGAAATTTCAGTACCAGAGATAAGGTTGCTTGTCTAAACCTCTTCAAAATCCTACGATTAGTTTCATCAAAATTTTACTATAGATTTTTTATAGTTTCTGCAGAGTTTCTGCAGTTTCTGCATTTATAATAAGTTTCAGCAGTTTCGCCTTTCTCCAAAGTTTCGCCAGTTTTTTAATATAACTTTAATATAGTTTCAGCAGAATTTCGCTTTTCGGCGAAACGCCATCTTGCCTAAACCCCTAGGTTTCGGCAAGCAACCTTAACCAGAGATTTTTAATGCAATGCAAAACAAAAAGCCATGCAAAATAGCAAATTTAATATTAGTTTCTAAATCAATAACATTTGTCCTTTCACTTAAAGTTATTAAAAAATAATATAAACTTAAATTAAAGCAAACTTAACATAATTAATGATATTTGTCTCTTCACTTAAAGTCATCAAGAAATAATATAAATTTAAAGAAACTAAGGAAGTAGACAAGATATTGTTTAAAAAGAATATTTTAATTATATATTTCCAGATAATCAAATTATTCAAATTTCAAATTATTAGCAATGATATATGCTATATTGTAGTATATTAAATGATATTTCAGATTTTCACATTTTTATATTTTGAAATATTTGATTTTAAAATTTATTGTTATATATTGGAATTCCAATATACTCATTTAATATGATAATAATAGAACTTCTTTATTATAAATTTATGTATTCTAAAGATACTATATAGAAGTAGGAATAATAGAGATAGAGATTGTGATAGAGACTAATGTACTTATAAAATAGCTAAGATTCTTAGTAATTCATAAAAATATAATACTGCAATTTTACCTTATTATTAAATTTATTATTATGGAAATTCCAGTTCTCTTTAAATAGTTATTCAAAAAGTATCCAAAGATCATCATTGAAAAAACTCCTACTGAAGTTAATAGAGTAAAACTTTCAGTTGATATTTTTAAATAAAATCCAAATAATATTGAGTTTAATAATTTATATTTAGATATAAATAGTATTATTTATTCTGAAGAATAAGTCTACTTCAGTTACAAAAGAAAATATGATGGTTAAAATAATGGAATATATAGAGTAAATAGTTATTATGATTTACCTTAAAAAAGTTTTATATCTTATAATAAAGATAGAAATTGTGATAGCCTGATAGGGATCAATGTATTTATAAAATAGCTAAGATTCTTAGTAATTTATAGAAATATAATACTGTAATTTTACCTTATCATCATAAAGATTTCAGCCCTTTTTAGATAGTTATCAAATTAACTCAAATTTAATTTAAATTAACTTTAATTATTCAAATCAAATTGATTTGAATCAAATTTGAATTAGTTCAAATTAAATCAAATTAAATTAAATCAGATTAAATCAGATTAAATCATTGAATCAAATCAAATTTAAATTAAATTCAAATTATATTAAATTAAATCAAATTATAAATTAAATTTAAATGATTTGATCAAATCCAGATTTGAAATTTTTAGATTAATTTAATCTGTAATTAATAATATATTTAGTTTATTAATTACATACTGTATAAATATTAATAAATATTACTTAGGCAGGTCTGTGTTTTTTAATATATAAATGCTATTTATATATGGATATCAGGAAAATTCTTGACAATTTTTTTTAGCAATTTGTTCTTATTAATACTACATATCAGAAGATTATTATAAGATATTATTTGTTTAGATGAGGGATTTGAAAATATTTTTGATAGATTTAAAAGCATTTATAAAGAATATAAAGAATGTAAAGTTCAGAGAATACTCATCAAGAAAGTTACAAAACAACTTGTTGGTTTAAAAAATTTTTTTTATAATTTATAATTTTTTGGAGTTTAAAGGTTAAACAATACATTATTTCAACTTTATTATACATAAATTTACAAAAATAAGATTTTCTTATATTAAAAGAGCTGTTATATAAGTACTTTTTAAGAAAAATATAAAAATTTAAATTTATAAGCAAATTACATTTTTTACATTAAAAAATTTCTTTTTATTAAAAATTTCCAAATTTTTATTATTTCACATATTTGTTGTTTAAATTATCTAAGTTTCTAACAAGTTTTTTAACTTTGGCCGAAATTATTTGGCCAGAATTAAGTGGTGATGTTCACCAGTGATGACAATCAGCATTATTTTAATAGTAAGATACAAAAGACAATTATCATATTTTTCGTACCATTTGACTTTAAGCATTAGTGCATCACTGTAATAATCATTTTATATTTAAGTACCATTTAATGTAGTTTTTTGTAAATAATTTATACTAATGATTTTAATTTAGAAATTTTTTTGGATAATTTGAACAGAATTTACAAGAATTTTTCTATTTTTAACAATCTCTCAGCTCTATTTTACATGATAAAGAACGTAACCAAAGAATTTTTCACGTTAACCAATAGAACTTTAATAAATATTTGTAATGTTATCGATTAATATTTGTATTTAAATATTCAACAAATAGTTCAGCTACTCGATCCATATCTAATAACGTATGCATTTTATTGATGTTTGTAAATTGTCTTCTTAATCTTCTAAATTCTGATAATGTTATCGTACGTGAAGGAAGATTGACGTTCTAAGAGAATCAAAAATCATTTCAATAGTTAAGGGATATTACTTCTTAATAAAATATATGAATAACTGTCCGATTTCTCCCAAGAAAAAAAAAGGATATTGTTCGATTTGTACGAGAGATTTTTACAGCACCACCTCCAACATTATGTTTTTGAGCATCCAAAACTTCATTAATTATATCTTGGGTGGTTTTTTCAAGTTCATATAAATAATTTGTTTCGCTTACTGGTTTCTACATCAACGAAAAGTTTAGATTAGATGATATTTACTCTTTTTTAAGTTAATGTATAAAATCATGACATACCGAAACAGTTGATAAATTGGGAGGCTTTGCTTTTTTATTAATAACAGCATCCCATATACCATCAAAAGGAACTGCTTCATCATTATAAAATACTGTAAATAGTGGTGAATCCCAACGATTTCGATCATCAGGTTCTTCGAATCGACTAACAAGTTCATCGAATCTAAAACATTAATTGATATGATGAAAAGCCGTAAAAGTAATTCTAATATAACAAATCGAGGTTATGATAATTTTTTTCATAAATAACTAACACTGTTGTATCATAACCACTTTCAACACGTTTGGAATTCCATTCTTTGGCAATCTCAACTGGAATCCCACAATACACCTAACAACAAATTATGAATCTATGAGACTATTTTAATTATTTGAATAATGATTTTTTTTTCCTTTAACATACTACACAATGGGGTGTACCAATAGCGCGTGCAATGCAGTATAACTGATATCGAAATCCTTTGATATAATTCATGGCATCGACAATTAACAAGTCATCTTTCGATATCATTCTTTCGACAGCGGAAATAAGTGTTCCACGAGATTTCTTTTCTTCAAGGCGTGTATCTAAAGAAAAAAAAATTGTATGATAAATTATAATGAAATTTTCAAGAATTCGGGAAATGGCATACCTTTATAACTGTCTTTACTTATCCCTAACGACTCGTCATTTATTAAATGAACTGAATTGGGTTTATTTTCATTATTAAAACGATCAATAAAATATTGCATAATTTGTGTTGAACGACTTGTCTTCCCACTAGAAGGGAAACCACACATTACAATTAAAGGCATTCGGAATAGATGTCGATCGATAAATTTCGATATTCCGATTTCTTTGAATTTTTACATATATAGTATTCAATGACGTCATTTCCGGAATTTTCGCAAAAAATTAGCATTTGTTACCAAAAAAGGTAATAACATAGACAGTCAATGTAATTGTTGTACAGTAATTGTTAATATATCAAATATGGTATATACAGTATATGAAGCCTATTTATCAGAAAATTTCGATTCTTAAAAATTCTTTAATATTTTTAATCTATAAATTATTTTTATCTCGAGGAATTACTGATAAATGGCTGAATACCAACGAGAACGCTTGGCAAAAAGAAAATATGAAAATTATGACGAGGAAAGCACACAACAGATAAGGCATGAAAGGGACGCCATCCCAAATAAATCCCTTAAATCTTCAAAATATGCTACACCTAGTCGTAGCGTAGCTGATCATTACAACTCAAAAGTAGATGTTGGAGTCGAAAGACGTAGAGAATCTACAATTATTTTTCTTAGGAGTTTCAATAATTGGATAAAAAGTGTTTTAATTGGAAAATACGTTACTAGAGACGGTTATGCACTTGATATGGGTTGTGGTAAAGGCGGTGATTTATTAAAATGGAATAAAGCAAATATTAAGAGCCTTGTGGGCTTAGGTATATAAAAGAATTTTTTTAATGATCATTTAGAGTTCTAAACTTATCAATACTTTTGATTTAGATATTGCCGAAGTATCTATCGAAGATGCAAGAAAGCGATGGAGTGAAATGAAAGGTGAACCAATGTGTAATGATATTTATTTTGCTTTCAAAATGGTTTATATATAATTTACTAGATAATTAATTTAATATTAAATATTATTTCATTGGTATAGGGAGAAGATTTGATGCGGAATTCCATGTTTTGGATTGTTTTACTGTAAGTATATGGAAATCTATAAAAAAAAGTCTTTTCTTTATCAATTAATTTAAAAATTATTATTTATTAGTCAAATATATCGAGTATAATTCCAAGCAGTACAAAATTCGATATTGCTAGCATGCAGTTTTGTCTTCATTATTCTTTTGAGACAGAAGAAAAAGCTCGCATAACTTTAAATAATGTAACGACAAACTTAAGGAGTGGAGGAATATTTATCGGAACCGTTCCTGATGCTAATTGGATAGTGTAAGGATATTTCTTTTTTAGTCGGAAAGGAAAATTAAAGAAAAATTTTTTAAAAAAACCGGCTTTTATTAAATTTTTTTTTATTATGAATTTAACTTAGTAAAAAATTGAAGTCGTTGCCGAAAGAACAATTGAAATTCGAAAATTCAATTTACTCAATAAGATTTGAACAAAGAGACAATTTTCCACTGTTTGGACATAAATATTGGTTTTATCTTAAAGATGCGATAAATGATTGTCCAGAATATCTTGTTCACTTTCCCACCTTTCAAAAGTATGTATTTAATTATACCTCATTTAATAAATTTATATTGATTTAATTTTATCATCTTTTTTTTTTTAGGCTAGCTCAACAATATGGACTTGAATTAATATACAAAAAGAGATTCCATGATTTATATAATGAGTTTAAAGAAGAAACACATTATAGGGAACTTTTATATAGTATGCGTGTTATTGATAAACGTGGTGAAGATGAGATGTCTGATGATGAGTGGGAAGCTACAGGTAATTAATAAAAATTTTTTTTTATTTGCTTTTACTTATAAATATATATATACTAAAATTGCTTTTACCCATACAACTAAAGGGATGTATATTGGTTTTGCTTTTAGAAAAAAATAAGACACTTAATTGTAATAATTGAATGTTATGTAGTGATGATGATGATGATATATATACATATACATATATTTATATTATTTTTAATTCATTAATTCATAATTTAAATTATTTTTCTCTAATAAAATAACAATAATTAATTTTTTTTTTTATTTATTTATGATCACGTGATATCGCGATAAAAAATTCATAGTCATACAAATAAATCAATCCCACATGATTTGTGAATGATTGACCAGTCATTAAAAGGTTTAACTGATAATTTTGGTGATGATAAGCCCAAATGATTATAAATGAATTTTGTAAATGTTTCAATTAAGAAGAACAGTTGTAAATAACATATTTCAAAGGTTTAATATCATATCAAATTCGTCATTGCATATTAGAAAATATACAATGGGTCGACTTGAAGGAAAAAATGTATTAATGTAATGAATCCAATTGATTTTTATGAAAGTTGTTTTTGAAAGAAATTTTACTTAATATCATGATGAATTTTTTTAGTACGGGAGCTTCCGCCGGTATTGGTGAAGCATGTGCTAAAGAATTCGCTAAGGCCGGATCAAATTTGGTAAATTTGCCACTACATGTGATTCAAGTGATGTGATTATTATGGTTATGGATTTAAATAAAACCTTTTGGCAACATACATTTTTAGATTCTTACAGCTAGAAGAATTGAACGACTTGAAAAACTTCGTAATGAATTTTCCCAAAAATATCCTTCAATCAAAATTTTCACACATCAATTAGATGTTCGTGAGAAAGCAAAAGTTGATCAATTAGTTGGTGCTTTACCATCAGATCTGAAAAATATTGATGTGCTTGTTAATAATGCTGGTATATAGTCTATTACTGTATAAACATTTGTTTGATTAGAACATTAATTCTTTAGTTATGATTATAAAATAGGGCTCGTTATTGGAATTGATAAGATTGAAAATGTTACAGCTGAAGCAATTGATACTATGATTGATACAAATGTTAAGGGATTGTTAAATGTAACCCAAGCAATCCTTCCTATAATGAAAGAACGTCAAAAAGGGCATATAATTAATATTGGATCAGTTTCAGGTATATATACTCTTTCTCTTATATGTTTTGAGAGAATTTTTTTTTTTTTTTTCATAATAAATACATCTTTTCTTATAGGACAACAAGTTTATACCAATGGAGGTGTATACTGTGCTTCAAAACACGCGGTTGATGCAATTTCAAGAACCTTGCTTCTTGAATTGGTAATTTTAATAAATTATTGTCTTTTTTGTTTTGAACATGATGCATGATGTAAAATATGAAATGAATTAAATAAATAAATGGGATTCCGATAGGTTGATACTCCAATTAGAGTAACGCAAATTAATCCAGGTAAGATAATGATTATTCTTAATTTTGAGGCGATTCATCACATGTTCTTCATTTATTTTATTTTTTTTTTTTAGGAATGGTTGAAACTGAATTCTCTGTAATTCGATTTGGTGGAGATAAAACTAGAGCTGACAAAGTTTACGAAGGCTTGGTAAAAATCAATCTTAATATTTTTCGAACACGTTTACCCTATAAAAATTTTTCCGAGAAAAAGTTTATATTCTAAACAAAACTCCGACATGTGATCAATTTTTATAGGGTCACATTAATTAAAAAATTCAAAATGAAATTAAAAAATTCGATGAAACTAATGAAACTAATTATTCTTTTCTTTTTGTTATCTATTAGCAACCTTTAACCGGTGAAGATATTGGTAAGTTTTCTTAAAGTTTGTTAGTTGTTCTTAATACCATACCAATACTTGTATTATAATTATTTGTATTATAATTATATAGCCGAGACCATTGTTTTTGCCGCATCAAGACCTGATCATGTAAACATCGCTGATATATTGATTTATCCAGTTAATCAGGTAAATTATTTTTTTTAAAACCTTTTTTTCTTTTTGATTTCTTTTTATTTTTTAGATTTACCAATTAATTTTATTTTTTTTTTTTTAGGGAGCAGTTACGACCGTTCATAGACCACTTTTAAATAAATGATTAAAGAAATCATCTTTGAAAAAGAATATTTGGAATATTTGAAAATTGAAATATATATTTTTTAAAAAAAGTTTTCGATAAATGATTTGATTAACGATTATATGAATATTGTCTGAACTGCAAAAATTTATAATAAAATGATATTATCTACTGAGCATAAGATGCAATTAACCGTCTTAAGTCAATCTGAAAATAATTATATATAAGAATAATATATTAATTTCAAATCCGTATTTACTAATATCCCAGATTTTAACGTAAATAATTTTGAACACGAAACTAACAATGAGACAAGGCGAATATGAGACACATGAAAATTTTCTCCAATTTCATTAATTTTAAAATGAAAAAACGATAAAAATTTCAAAAAATTAAAAAATTTAAAGATCATAATCATAGAATCTTAACTCGACTCCAAGCTCTATTATAAGCATCATAACATAAAATTATAGTGATGGAAGTGCTTAACGACCCAAATCACTGCAAGACACTCCAATTCCGTAACATTATAGTTTCGTTCATGTTTATTGTTTGACTTATTCGCAAAAATTCAAATAAGTAAACATAGCCAGCTGAAAAAAATGCAAAAGTAATTGCGCTGGACGGCAATTTCCAATTAAATGTGCGGGGAATGATATTGATGATCGAGCATAAATATCGAAATTTAAAGAATTTACATAATAATAAGTTCGATATTATAAGTAAAATTCAATTATTTCATGGAATTATTTTATTATGCTCGTCATTAAATTCACGTAACTGACGTAAGTGTTATATATATGACATTAGATTGTTATTGGATGAGGTTTGCATTTTGGAGTAAATCACGTACGGTTCACAGCACCATCAACATTTTTATCCGATTCTTGTTCATGTTGTTCATGTAAAGTACAGAATAACGCGGTTATGTCCACGTGACTTTGAACATAACGAATTCATTCATAAACATATAAAGGTCCTTAATGAATTTATACGGGAGAATATATATATGTATATATATATATATATATATATATCTCGCGTAATACCATTATACAATATTGACACCCTGATATTTATAGATAAAGTATGAATGAACATCCCATTTTTTTTTGATACAACGATTTATATAGTATGAATGAATATAGAGAACTGCGTTACCAAATTAATGGTTTCTTGAATTATAATAGTAGGTAGATCAGTATGCCACGTTAATTATGATACTATGATATTATGATACTATGGTACCAATCTTAAAAATTTTCAATAAAAGTTTTTATTTGTTTATTAATCAAAAAGTCAATGATAAAGTAGACAAATTGATTGGAGAATAATTAGCATATTTATCGTATAACAAATCCATAATATTTATTATTTCAAGAAGGGAAATCCGGAATTATCATTTGTACCTTAATAAACTGCATTAATAACGGTACAGCTTATTATTATTTATATGTACGGAACAAATAATAATTAAGATGAATATTTTGATGTGATCATAATTGATTTCATATGATATCATGATTTTTAATGAAATATGTTTATATATATTTTTTTTATTCTTTGAGATAGAAAATTTAATCCGGTTTTATAAGATTTTCACTTAAAATTCTTGAAAAATCTGGGAAAAATTATTGATTAACCATTTACGGGAATTGTAACCCTGTAATCTATCTATATTGCTTTGTGTTATTAATAAATTAAATGTTATATTAAGAATCATTTCTTTATTCCGTTAGGAGATTAAAAATATCGGCGATTTTTTAAAAGATGTAATAGTATATTAGTATATTGTGTATTAGTTAATATATTTGTGTATGCATATTTTATATATTTTATATATTTTAAAAAATATTTTTTTAATGCATATTTTATATATTTTAAATATTTTTTGAATATCAATCAAAACAATTACGCGTGATTAATAAAAAATTTTATACCTAAATATAAACTTTTTGGATTTTTAAAAAATTGGAAAAAAAAAGGTAAAATTAAATTACCGAAAAGTCGGAAATTGAAATAAATTGACAACTAAAGAAAAATTAGAAACATTAAAAGAAACGCTAAAACGCTAATTATGCAGTGTTACAAAGATAATAATGTAACGCAACTTTTCGGAAAATTACAGTAACATAAATTTATGAATGAATGAAACATGTAATTAATAATATTAAATGCAATGAATGCAGTAGTTCATGTATTTTGACACAAACCACCTGAAACCACCTGTATGGTACTTAACTAAAATTGTCAATCAACTAACTAAATTTTATTAGAGAATATATTTTAAATTTTTTGCATGGGAATAAAAAAAGTCTGGAAACAAAAAATTTTTGGCTAAAAATGTAAAACTATTAATAAACATTTAATTTATATATTTTAAATTTTATAATTATTGAGTTTAATACTGATATGTAAATATCAATAAATATTATATATATTTGGTAGGGTCACGTCATTGATTTAATGTAACATAACGTAACGTAACGTAACAAAGGTAACAAAGGTAACGCAACTTTTTAAAAAACAAACCTGTTTTTATATTCACATCTTTTTTGTCAATGTCATCATTGATATTCATTGATATACGCTAATACGCGTGAATTTTTTTTTTTATCAGCATATCAAATGCACAAAATGATTGGTTATAAGAAAGTAATAATACACGGTTCCCCTAATTTGCTGTTAAAAAAGGTGAATGGGTGAATATCTAAATGTTCAAAATATTTAAGCCAATTCATAACAATAATATATTTTAATTATTAAATAAAAATTTGATTTCCCATTTTATACCCTTTATAAAGAAATATGATCATCAATTTGTTTCTTTATGTGTGCACCAATAAAATTCTTTCTAATGGTATAACAAAAAAAATTGTACATATATTGCCTCGAGTTTTTTGAAAGTTTGAGATTTAAAGTTCGAACGGACTTTCCGATTAATAGAATGTTATTATGCATTGTACAAAGAAACAATTACGTATTGTGAAATTTTTAAATGTTTAAAGTTGTTTTATTATAAGAATGATTTGTTACACGGATTTTTTATTATTTATTTTTTCTTGTCAATTTTTTCCTCTCTACTCGGTTGTTTTCTTAAACCGGATGAACGGGTCTCTTTTGATTATGTTTTTTAGGAAAAGTGGCCATTTGTCCTACTGTCTTACTTTTCCTTCATTCTTTTTATCACGTGAATTTTAGGCGTAAAATATTTTATATGTACGTAATCTTAAATAAGTGTTAATCTTTTACTTTTATATCATAAAAATGTTACTTTTTTATAACTTGTATAACTTGTGGAGTTATTTAGATATTTTTGATATCCAATACAACTTAACAAAGGGGAGTAACAAGAATAAGGTTGAAAAATTTAAAATTTGAAAAATGAACGTATACTTGCTTTATAATCAAGCATTTTGCTTATTGAAATTTTCTTATTTTAGAATCCTCAATTTTTTTACTTATTTTTTTTTTGATAATCTGTCTGTTCTCAAAAGTTCTTTAATGAATTCATATTCGTCTCATTAAATGATGATGGTCGTACATTATATTTACTTTTAAGCAATTAATTAATGTACAATGATGTTACCAAAACATATCAGATATAAATATAAAAAATACATAATGATGATATTTTTTCATCATTTCCAAAAAAATTATTTTTTATTTTTTTTTTTTTTGTCCTTTATTCTCTTTTTTCCGCTTCCTTTTTTGAGATTTTTTTCTTCTCTCTTTTATATCTTTTATAACCGTGGGATTTGATTATCAAAAATCAGATAAAAAATTTTTTATTTAAAAAAAAAAAAAAAAAAAAAAAAAAAATTATAATCATTATGGCTCGTTTTATAATGTTAATTAATTGTCTGTTTTTGATGAATTTGTTA